TAGGTACCGGAGGAATATCCACCAAATGCCGCCATTTTTAATTTCATTCACGCGAGAGAATGCGTTTGTTTTTAGGGCAAAGTAGCCGATTTCATCCACAATTGGACTCCGAACTGGGAGTTCTGGATATATCTGGTAATCGATCATCATTTTTGGTACCTGGGCATATTATTTCATTAAAAAAGTTATATTTTTCAAAGTCCCGGACTTTGTCTATGGAAGTTCGCAGGGCTGTGGTGGGGACATCTATCAACCGAACGCGTCCCCGTACACACAGCAATGTACACAGGGCTAGTACAAGACATGGCCGCGCTCCTTTTGAAAACGTTCGAATTTAGGACGCTGGTCATAAATCGCATGACAATGTTCATTTGTTTATTATTTACAATCAGAAGCTAATGTCCCATAGTACAATGAAATATCATTATTTTGTGTTACAGTTAAGCTTTTTGAGAAATATTGAGATATTTCTTGAAAATCGCTATTTTTTGAACATTTCCATAGAACACAATGTTAAAGAAAAATAGCCGTATTTGACACTTTTTAAAACCCAGATTTTTTAAATAATTCAGGACAACAAAAAGTACTCCATCATTAGCAATATATGATTTTTTCAGTCTATGTCACCAGGTTAGATTTTGAGATATGGCATAAAATCTCTGCCATAGGAACACTTGCCTAACACTCTTGGTATAAGCGTCCTGCGGCCTACGCGTTCGACTGTTGCTAGGAGATGCATTTTGTCGCACAATACAGTAACGCATTCATGACGCACAATGTTTTGATATACTATACTATGGTGCTGTAAAAAATAGGCTGTGGTACCGGCATTTTCAAGAGTATTTTTTTATCTATTACGCTCAAGTTTATTTCGAATCGAAGCACAGTTTAAAAAATATGAACAGCCGCCGGGGACAGGGGCCCGCTGTCGCCAATAAACGTCGCACCTTCGACAAAGGGAAGGTGTCGGCATCAAAGGAAAATGATTTTTCCAGAATGTTGACTCCAGAAGCGGTCATATCAGACACAGATACTTCCAGATCGCTTGCAGTCTTTCAAGCAAAATCCATTTCCAGGAAAAAATCTGAATTGGGCAACGAACTTGGTAACATTACAGAAAGACTGGCTAAGGTTTGTTTTATTTTACATTATTCTATTTCTGAGAGTAATGATAAATGCAATACATGTGTGGTGAACGTTTATGTGTAATTTTCTATTCACCAGCGTTATTTTTATTTATTTTATTTCAGACTTTGGATGAATTTGAGGAATTATACGATTCTTCCCCCCAGGTAAGCCCAATGAAAACAAAGTGCATATATCCCACTGTATCAGTTTCCAGAGAGTCACAGTTTTCGCACAGTTTCGTGTGTTATCGTCACAAAATTGTCATTAATGTAATTAATGTAATAAATGTACCCTGTCACGTAGCTCCAAGCTGAATTGTGGTCTAATGTGGCAATAATGCAACTTATATCATGACTCGCACTTGTAAATTGCATATAAAACAGTGACATTCAGTGTTCGGAACTGTCACCTGGCACAAACATATTATTTAAACAAAATGTTCACTCTCCAAAATTGGTTACCCGGGTTTTAGCCGAGTACCACCTTGTTCACTCACTCGGTATTTGTGTGACAGAATCCATACCCACATTTGTAAGTACAGATGTTTGCAAGCCATTTTTGATTTTTGACAACTCAGTACGCCTGCGCAAAACCAGCAGGTAGCTACCCCATACAGCTATAGCTACAGCCAGTTATACCCTGGATGTAAGAAGTGTATATATATTTGTGTAGTAAATAAAAATAACTCTATTCAACTCTATTAAAAACAGGACCCATTTCAGTAGCACTACCCTAATAAATACTTTCTACATAATGCTCGGACCAAATTATGTTTTTCTGACACTTTTTTGGCAAAACGTTACCACATACACAAACCTAGCGGTTAACGAAATAACAAATATGGTGACCATAAACAACCAATTGCCAGCCTGGCCATTTCTAAATAATTTTGTTGGATCTTCGCCACACTGCCGCTGTTTATGAGAGAGAAAAGTTGTCGCATGCAATCGATGGGAATTCAGATAATTTTACAGTTATTTCAATAGCCTGAATAAATAAGAATAAATTTTGACATTTGTGTGAGCGCAAACAGTTTATATGTAGTGACCTGGAATGTATGCGTGGATGGTAATATAGGAAACGTGACAAGACCCATCGACCACCGTGACGTCGGTGTGATCTACCGCGTCTATAGATGGCGTAAATTTATTCTGAATGTATAAGTATCTCTGATGGATTGTCTTTCAGAGTCCTTCATTTGCTAACCTGACAGCCAATGTAGATGCCATGGAGTCCAGTGAGGTATGTAGAGTTTAATCCTAGGACAGACCATGGAGGTAATAAGAATTATTAATAAGAATTATTACCTCCATGGACAGACTAACTTATTCTGTGCCCAATCTGCGAACTGCCCGGGTGTACCGTTGACTGTAGCTCTGGTTCAGATTACACCAGTTTTCTTATCGCTTCACAATTGTTCTTCAAAGTATCGGTTCGAACAATAAAATTACAATAATTGTGTTTTCTTATTTCAGTTCAAATATAAAATGAATAGTTTTCTCAATCGCTACAAATCATTGAGTGAACAAATGGAGGAAGCAAATGCCGATCGAAGTGGGGTAAGTATTGAAACACGTTTTTAGAATAGAATAGAATAGAATAGAAAAGATTATAATAAAATAGAATAAAATAGAATAGAAAAGATTATAATAAAATAGAATAGATTAGAATAGAATAGAATGGATTAGAATAGAATAGAAAAGATTAGAATAGTATAGAATAGAGTAGAATAGAAAAGATTAGATAGATAGATAGATAGATAGATAGATAGATAGATAGATAGAAAAGATTATAATAAAATAGAATAGATTAGAATAGAATAGAATAGAAAAGATTAGAATAGAATAGAATAGTATAGAATAGAGTAGAATAGAAAAGATTATAATAAAATAGAATAGATTAGAATAGAATAGAATAGATTAAAATAGAATAGATTAGAATAGAATAGAAAAGATTAGAATAGAATAGAATGGAATAGAACTTGAATATAATAGAAAAGATTATAATAAAATAGAATAGATTAGAATAGAATAGAAAAGATTATAATAAAATAGAATAGATTAAAATACAATAGAAAAGATTAGATTAGAATAGAATAGAATAGAATAGAATAGAATAGAATAGAATAGAATAGAATAGAATAGAAAAGATTATAATAAAATAGAATAGATTAGAATAGAATAGAAAAGATTATAATAAAATAGAATAGGTTAAAATAGAATAGAATAGAATAGAATAGAATAGAATAGAATAGAATAGAATATATAAATAAGAACGCAAAGAGTATCATATTTACACTTAACAATCTCTATTATATTTACTGTTTTCAGATCATAGATTCACTATCACAGGTGAGTTATTTTATTCTCTGTCAGCACAATGAGTCAAGGAACTATAATACACTGTACGCGTAGCCTTTATGGGGCGGGTATCGGCTGGTATCCAGTGTATATAATCATGGAGCTTCATGATAAAATAGACACAAGGAATGAAGGGGCAAACCACCTTACATTTTTAAACTTAAAAAAAAAAACGTGCAAAAAAAGTTAATTTAATTTATTGACCCCATTTACGAATTCTGAGCGTAAGGTTTTACCGGCACAGTTGGAGGCGCAGCCTATTTAGAATTTGTCATGCACCAATCAGAGCGACGTCACAAATCAGTCAGGCTTCCTGTGTTTTATCATCTCAAGTCGGCAGCGATGGCCGCGGCATGACAATGGTGAATTGTGTATATTCGTTAAATCATACATTTTCATGTAGCCACGTGTTTTTTCTCTAACGTAACCATAATAAGTTACGAAATTGCTTAAAATGCTTTCACCAACTTTAACCAGTGACCTAATTACCTATAGTATGCATTCCGAGAAATCTCTGTTTTGAACGCAATACAACTTTGAATCACGCGTAGAACTCACTCTACAAAAAAATAGTCCTGTTAAACTTCTTGTCGGTTAAGTTTTTTTGGCTATAAACATAATTTTAGAGCCTGTATATGTGATGTTTCTATATTTCGTTGAGAATTATTTCATCTGTTCGTAAAAGGGACGTTGTTGCTTCGACGATTGGCTACAGACTAACGACTGACTTCGAAACTTTCTATTCAAATCGAACAGCGCCCTTTTGTGTTAATCCCCTGAACAACAATAATATTGTTTCATTTGATAACGCTATTACTCCATTCTCAATCTGCGTATTTTATATATATATTTAAATAATGTTGTTTGAAATTGTATCTTGATAATATTCCGAAGACATGAAAACGTCAATGCGCATGCGCTTCGAATTACCTGTACATATGGATACATATGGGGAGTACGCGTATTTTCGTTTTCACTACTTTATTGAACAAATACTGTTAGGTTTGCTGTCAAAACAACATTATTACTTTGCTATAAATCATATACTTTATCAAGTTATGCATTATTGACATTTTGTAATAGATATTGAAGTAACGTGTTTTGTTTTTTTATGTTAATGTTTCCATTATGATATCCATCCAGATTATTGAAGATTCCGACGTGGTAAGTTCCTCTACGTATTGACTATGCATACATGTTTTAATTTTATGTTCAATATAATTATATATTGCATAATGTTCACGTGACATCGTGTCAGTGAAAAGTACTTTTGAACACGTTTAAATGATTTTAAACTAAAACTGCGTTGCTATGACAGGAAACATAGCGACATTTCTCATATTGTTTCCTTATACTTTCATTTACAACTGATATGACTATATGGTACATGGATTGTAGTTAAGCAATGTGTCGTTTGACGAGATTGGTCATATGACGGACGAGGGAGTCAGGTATGTTCTTAAACGCTCGCTATTTTTAGATCAATTAGATAGACGCCACCTACGGCAAATGCCATATATACTAGTATATATCGGTTTGTGAATGTAATTTTAAAGTCGTTCGCAACGTGGATTATGTTTTGAACTTCACAGTGAGGGACTAATAAATGTTCGACTGGCATTCGAGAAGTTGAAGAGTTTGAACGAAGAGATGTCTTCCTTATCACGAAGAGGACATTCTGTAACACATTTGAAAAAGTGAGTACATCAGACACCAGGATCACGTGACCACATGATGGGTGTTGTTTATTTGTTAAAACGCAACTAAATTACTTATCAAAACGCTCAGATGTACACTATTATTGCTTGCTTCATTAGGTCGAAAGCTGAACTCCAGAAGTTAGTCATTGCTAAATTCAAATCCATACATATAGGTAAGTTAAATTCTGACACTGACGACACTGCGTCATACGTAATGTAAGTGAACTCATGCGATATACGTATCAATTAAGTATATACAGTGTATGTAAGCTTCAATCACCATGATGTGTATTTGACGTCCGATGTTATTCTGTTGCCATATCGACCAGATCTGAGATCTCAACTATGAGGGCGATGCGTTCGTGCAAATATTCACCGTGGCAAGTTGTAGACATGAGACTTAATGTAAATACTTCGTCACTTTTTATTATAGTATGTCAGCGTGTAGTTGAAAATATATAAATTCCACAAAATTAAATATGTATATGTGGTCTGAACAGTGAACATATAATTTGTAAGGTATATACTAACCTTTGCATTTCAAGTTGAGAAATTTGTATTTCTGTTTAATTTGCTGTGTGTCTTTACTCTACAAATCAGCCCATAAACGTAAAGACGCATTAAGTAAACATCGAAAACTACACTGGAAATATGCCGCTAACGAAATCGTTGAACTACTAAAGCATGTGCGCAGTGAAGGCGTGGGAGGTAAGTATATGCCTAATTTATATAAGCTTAGTTCTTAGTATGTACGTAGTTTACATTCGTTACACAGGCTTAGTTCTTAGTATGTACGTAGTTTATATTGATTATACTGGCTTAGTTCTTAGTATGTACGTAGTTTATATTGATTATACAGGCCTAGTTCTTAGTATGTACGTAGTTTATATTCGTTAC